CTTTCTTTCTTTCTTTCTTTCTTTCTTTCTTTCTTTCTTTAGAGTTCTGCATATCGCTCTTTCTCTGACTTTCTCTTTAGTTCTATTTCAGTCAATTTTCTCAATCTCTCACACTTCCTCTCCTCAAAATTCTCTTCTTTCTATCTTTCAATTAACCTTTCTTTTTTTTCTCTCTTGTATCCTTCTCCACTCTTTCACAGTCTTTCTCCTTATCTCTCTTTCAAACTAAATCTCCTCCCCCTCTTGATTATCTCTCTATCACTTATTTTTTTTCCGTTTTCGTCTTTATCTAAACATTTTCTCTCATCTCTTTCATTTTTATTTGTCTCTTTCGCTCACTCTCTTTTGCTTGATCAGGTTAGCTCTTTTCTATATTCGTTTTAGCTTTCCCCCCCCCTGCCCAGTCTCAATCCCTCGCTTTCTCTATCTCCCTCTCTCGAGCTTCATATCTTCTTTTCGCATTCCTAGACTTGGCTTCACTCTTTATTTTTATGTTTCTCTCTCTGTACATCTTTATACATACGTACATACAAGATGGCTGCCTTCTTGTTTTCGAACATGGCCATCACACAACATCCCCACAAAGATTCACTGGTGCCACTCACGGACATGACCTTTAAGTCCGGTCAATGATTTCCATTGTTTTTCACAGACTCCACATCCGGCAGCAAAGCCTCTGATTGGAAGAGTGGAGGTCTTGAGGAGCCTGGAACCACCTCTTAATTGCTGTTGTTCCCAGGTCCCGGGGTGGTAACACCTGTTAGGGTCCGTGCTGTGGGAAAATGGTGAGCCCCCGAGCAAACAAACAAAGACACTCTAAAAGTATAAATATACATTTTAATAGTAAAAAATACCAGCAATCGATTTTTATATAAAAAGAACGAGAATAAATAATCAGCAATACATTTTATCTGTAGTTGAAAGCATACAGCTGCGTTCAAAATATTTAGTTGAAGCCATAAATTGTGTCCAAAATATTTAGATTTCGGTATTAAATAATCAATATAAGTGTTGATATGCTACTAAACAAAGCCAAAAAATCAACACCACCTTTCAGAACATTAATCCATATACCCTACAATTTCTTAAATCAAACTATTCCAAAATATAACATAACATAAAATGCAATCACCGCCTCTAGTAATTATGTCCACACACCTGTATATATACAAAAGCTAAGTATCATCTACCATGTATTCAATTGTGAAAGCAGAATAACTTACCATATTTTTATTACTTGAAGATTCTCAAGAAAATTATATTTCGGCATTAAATTACCCATAAGCAGTTGCCGTCAAACAAATGAACAATCAAGAAGAAACATTCAAAACAAACACAGCTTCCTTCAACGTCAAATTTGAAATATTTCATTTGTTTTGAAAATCAGGAAGAGGTGGATGACGTAGATGCGTATTTCTGCATCTGTTAAAATGTCTTTCACTGTTTTTCATTCTGTTGAGTGTCAGGAGCAAAGAGAAGCGGGAAAGATGCGATTTATGAACTGAAAACGCCAAAATCAAGCAGTTTTAACTAGGTGACAAGTGTTTTAAGAATACAATGGAAAATGACATCGAAAGTCGAAGTTGAATTCGTCTCGTGAAAGATAACTTCCCAAAAGCCTAAACTACAAAAAAAAAACTGTTAGAAACAAAGAAAACAATGCTGAAGTGCCTTGTAATATACTTTTCTCCGATATGGTATAATTTCTTCACAGATAGAGATTTGAGGCAACATAGATGCTGAGTGACAGATAATGTGGTTGACCATTAAAATTTGATAGTGAAATCAGTCTTTCACTGTTTTTCATTCTGTTGGGTGTCAGGAGCAAAGATCAGCGGTACACCATGCAAAACAAGACATAAAATTGCGTTCAAAATATTTAGTCGAAGCCATAAAATTGCGTTCAAAATATTTGACATAATGTTATGGTTATTCACCAATGCACGCATCTCAGATATAAATAGGAGCAGGTACTGCCTTTTGGAGAGGGAAGTTTGTATTACTGTTTCTGTTAATATATTTGTTTAACTCAATTCCTCTCTTTCTGTCTTTATTTCTGACCCTAACAAGGTCAAAACACACAGGCTGGAACGGCAGCCTGAAAGTCTTGATTAAAAATGAGTTCTATCATCAAAATCTTTATGTTATTCATAAGAGGAAAGACCAAAATATTTTTTATTATTGTTATGGTCCAAGTTAGGACGAAGGTCTGTTGTCATGATGACAAATGGTGACGTTTCGATCCAGTTCTACTGAGACAAGGACGTGAGCAGATATTGCAGGTTAGTCCAAGAGTATCACGTTTCTCTGCTGTGGGCTTTGTGGTGATCCCTTTTCATACATCCCGTTTCGACATTTTGTTGGCAATGCGAGAAGATTCAAATGACAGTTTTAACCTCCTCGACCATCCTGCGTCACTCACTACAGTCACCAGCATCACAATTGCATGGGTCACCTCCAATGCCTTGATTCAGTTTTTGAACCTTTTCTTTGCTTTATGTGAAAGTCGTTTACAATCTACCAGTTCCCCATAGAGCAAGAATCATCCATCCACAATATGTGGACACTCCACCATAAATTTGCTTCAGCATTAAGGCTTCTGTATTGCCACTAACGTCTTACCATTAGGTGGGAGGTATATGGGAGTTATCCTGCTGCACCCTACATGGGGGGAGGCTAACTTCTCCTTATCGAGCATCCCACAAAGGTTCACTGATGCCATGCATGGCTATGACTTTTAAGCAAGGCGTGTAATATGCATTGTTTTCCACAAACTCGGAAACTACGACCAGCCCCAACATTAGGTACGGTTTCCGGCATTCATATGCCTTTTCAAACCACCACTTGATATGGATTCATTGTCACATCTATATGGTGGTGTAATGGTTAGCAAGCTTGTATCTCTAGAACAATTACGACTGAGTAGTGAGTTAGATCCTCACTGGGTGCCCCATACTTTCGGCCTTGTGCTACATCTGAGCTACGCTTGGAAAATCACTATAGGGCATCTCAGAGACGCGGGCACATACGGCAAGTCAGTTCAGGAGAATCACGTTTCTCTGGGTGCTTTGTGGTGATCCCTTGTCGTACCATCCCGTTTCAGCTTCTCTTCTCTTCACACTGAGCATTGCAATTACAAAAACTACTTGACCTGAAAACGTTATTTTACACAAATACAATGGTCAACATTTATTGTATTTCAGTAATTGCACTAACACTTGAAAAAAAGCATACCACGACGAAAATAGGCCCCAAACGTGATGAAAACAAAGTTTTATCGTCAAAATCTTTATGTTATTAATGAGAGCAAAGACCAAGTATTTTTGATTATTTAATTAAATCTTGTAATCCTTCATGACACGTTCAAAATTTTGGTTAAAAATCTTGGTTTTATTATGCCAGTGAGGGGAAATTCTTGCAAAAATCAAATAATTGTCAGGTTTTATTAAAACTTCCAGCGCTTATTCACAAATGAATTAAATTATTTCAGAATTTGATTTTTACAAAATCTTGGTAAAAATATTTTTTTACATCTGTTACAACCACCACCCCGTCAACGCACACTTAATTTTTATGAAATTTTCAGAAAGTAAATTGTACCCCCTTTATATTCCTCCATGAGAATTTAAATCATCATGCTTTTTTCTGTTTTTTTGTTTTTTTTGTAAGACAAAAAGACCATTTACCGAAAATCTGCCCTGAATTGTAAAATAAAAAAATGCAATAAAATTAAGACATTATTTAATTAGAAAAGCTTTTTATTGCTTTTCTTTAAAAAAAAAAATATTTCGATGAATAATGAATTTTTTCAAAAATTTTTCATTTTGGGTGGGTAGCTTCACTTACACGCGGAAAAAAGAGCACACCAGGAAGAAAAGAAAAGGCATTCTAACTTGATTAAAAATGAGCTCTAACATCAAAATCTTTATGTTATTCATAAGAGGAAAGACCAAAATATTTTTTATTATTGTTATGGTCCAGTTTAGGAGCCAGGAAGAACAACACGAACACAGGAGTAGAAATAACGAAGGTATATTACACGAAATAATAATACAAGATGTGGAAGGTGTTAGTATGACTGTCAGTCTGGTTTGGAGTGAACTACTATCGGCTCGACTCGATTCGATATTTACCCCCACCCCACCCCACGAGGGAAAGATGTGGCACAAGGCCGAGTTTAACGTTGTTTTCTGAGCCCGTAGGCTCGGCCAAAAAATGCCCGTAGAACCCGTATAAACGAGATCGGGTTGGTCATTCTCCCCGAACGAGACTCTGCCCTTCGGCGGAGCCTCGTCCGGGTTCCTCTCTGCTCAGAGGCAGAGAGTTCGACCGTCAAGCCGAGAAGCTCGGCTCGATTCGTCCCTCTCTCTTGAGAGGCGTAGTATACATAGTGTTAGGAAGAGTTCATTCTGTAGTTATAGGTAAGGACCCATGACAATTATTTAATTAAATCTTGCAGTCCTTTCCTTGTAAGCAATTTCGAAATTTTCGTAAAAAGTCGCATGCATCAACTGCTCAGGTAGACAAGAATCCCCCATCCGCACATTATGACGCCTCCACCTAAGCTTGAGCTTTCCATTATACTCTTTCAAGAACAACTGCATCGCTTGTATAGTCCTGACATCAAAGTCCAACTATCCTCCTGGTGAAAGCATTCAAGCTGCTTAAGCCTATCCTTGTATGTCACCCATATCTCACCGGCATAAATCTGGGATGTAAGTATACAAGCATTGTTAACTTTTATTTTAATCTTCTGACATACGCCTCGTTGATCCAAAAATCATTGATGAAGCTTCCCAAATGCCCCACTATCCTTTTCAATGCGAAGAGACTTGAAGGCATCAGAAGTTTAGTTCGACAAGAGGCTGCTTCTACAATCTTAATCTATTCAAGACTGAGATAGATATATAGATAGATAGATAGATATGAACCGAATTAGATAGATAGATAGATAGATAGATAGATAGATAGATAGATAGATAGATAGATATGAACAGAAT